GGGGGGGGGGGGGGGGGGGGGGGGGGCAGGGGGGTTGACTCTTGTGTTGGAGGCAAAATCGTTATTTTTAGAGGCGTTGAGTAGATAAAAGTAATTATTTGGCAACCTCTGGCTTCAGAAGCAGTATAATCCAAGCCAGTTTTCGAAGGAGAAAGTTATAATGGGGTATTGTTTAGCTGCTTAATGAACACGGTAAATAGAGCTGGAAAAGGGTAGGCCAGAAACGAAGAGCTTTGCATACTTCCTTGAAAGTACTTTCGAATGCTTTCGAATTACAGCCGTGTTGATCTTTGTGACGGGTTAGATTGAGATAGCAGTCAAAGTACTTTTATATTAAAAAAATTGTAATTTTCAGGTTAATTGCCCGGAATATCTTGTTCATTTTCCGGTCCTCCAGAAGTAAGTCCTAATTGTTCTGAATGAATTTACTTCTAATTTCAAAATAAAATATCTTAGAAACCGCTTATTTTTGGTCCGTCTTCTTCAGCCTCTTCTCTTCCTTTTTTCTTTCCCCCCTTCCCGCCCCCCCCCCCCCCCTCACCTTCTCTTTCTCATCTCTCTCCCTAAAAAACCTGCCTAATTTCTGAAGTTTGATTCAGCGATAATTGAAATAGTAGTGTTGATATATGCCTAGAATATCTGAAGCAGCTGTAATTCATAGTCTATCCATGCAGTTTTGCAAATCTTTCGGTTGTTTTGACTAGCGCTGCATCGCTTGGTAGCAGTCGTGATGCTCCTTTTATCTCTAAAATGGATTGCAAACTGAACGGTCCCCTCAACCAAAGCACTGCTGAGGGTCATCTGGAGATGATATTGGTGTGTTTTGAGTCCTTAAAATTGATACTCTGAGGGACAAATATTACCGATAGTTGTAGTTCCATTGTTGTCTGCTCCTCTTGCCATCAGTGCAGCACAGGCAACTTCTCCATTCTTCCATGTTTTAGGCTTGCCTTTCTCAGAGTTTAAGCCAATCCCTTCCAGCGTATTGTGCCCATCTATCCTACTGTCATTTAACTCCTGTAATCTGTATTGCTTTTTCTTCTAAACACTGTGTTACCTGATGTACTTACACGGCTGTTAGGTGGCTGTACTGATGATTCCCACCTCTAATCGCACCTTATTCTGAAACACAGACAAACCTTTTCTTGCATATTCCTTTCCACATGACCCTTTCAACATGTCGTACGGTTTTGTGCTATGAATCGCCGTACTATCTTTCCCATAATAACTTAGCTAAGTTAAAGTTTTTAAAATGACAATTCGTTCTTCTAACGGTCGCAAATTATTAACCAAAATTGAATTTGCTTCTTCCTAAAATGCAATATAAAATTTAAAAAATTATTTTTACATCGTGTTTATTTCTCCGATTGAAGATTGTTGTCCGATTGTGGAATGGAATTGGTGTACAAGAAAAGATTTCCGGATGCCTTCGACTATTATTTGGGTGAGAGAAATGGACAAGGGCTGCTGCAACGAATGCAGGCACTGGAAACATATCCACCAGTTGATGGGGCTAAGTAAGTTTCTGTGATAAAGCCAATACTGTAATTTATAAAAATTAATTGGAATAATTGGATAGGTTATAATTCTTGGTCCATTTTACCACCTATGCAATTAGCGATTTTTTCCGGGTATTTTAACCAGTGCTGCATCACCTTGCGGTCAGCCTGCTAGCAATTCTGACGTTTTGCAGTAATATTTGGCGAAACAGTAGTCAGTTCGAGATGTTCTTGGCATAATTTTTTCTTTTTTAATTTTGGAAATTATTTGTATCTTGCTTTATCGGCTTGGCTTTTTTACCTGTCGATACGGATGAGGTTCTGGTATTACAAGGATCCAGTCCATTCCGACAAGCGCAGACATGTCAGATCCCTTGAGTTCTAAGCTGCAAACTGCTATTTTACCTCTAAGATTACCAATTAGCAGTTCTATTTGTGTATAAGATTTTCCCGTAAGCCTTCCACTTGATTTTTTCATTTCTTTGTGGGAGGAAGGGGGAGGAGTGTAGTGAAAGGGCAAGGAGAGACATATTTTGCTGTTCCTGATGCTCCTTTTGCTTCCTGAAGTTTTAATAACTTTTTTAAACTGTTAAAACTTGTGAAGACAAGACGAACATTTCACCATGGAAACGAGTCCATTGTTATCTGATTCCGTCGATTATCAAGTAAAAGCAAGACATATGCTGGGAGTTCAGATTTTCCCAAGAGGAAATATTACACGACTTCCCGCATATCTGGAGTGTCTTGTTTTCTTTATGGTTGCGAAAAGGGTGAAAAGCAAAGTTTCAAATATTTAAAAAAAAAAAAAACGGAAAGGGATTAATCTCGTTCGTGTTTCACTGTGTATTATCCCCGTAATGGGCATGTTACATTGTCGGTTTGTGCTGAAAAGTACGGATGCAGGCAGAAGAGTGAATACTGCTTCATCATAAGCTGGAAAATAAAATACAGTGAAGCGAGTGCAGTAACATTCCCGAAGTCGTTAAACAAATAATTTTCAGGTTAATGGGCTCACCAGATAGTTATGAAATACCGGAGAAAAAGCGAGCAAAAATTTTAGTTGGACGACCAGACGAAGGATGTGGTGCAGTGGTAATTTTTTTTTTTATTTCAAAATTTTCGGTAATTTTTTGAGGACGAATTTATTCCCTGCCAGTCTTTGCTGCCGATGCTCATGCATCCGGAAACCGGCAACACCGGTTCGATTTCGGACACTCCTCCTTTCTGGAATGATGGTTGTGATGGAAGAGCGTAGAAAAATTACCAATAACTAAGCTGAAATATCAAGCAAACGGTCAAAGGACTGTTCTTCACCTAACCCAAAAAAACGGGGAGAAATAAGGGAATAAAGGTTAGGAACATTTACTGCCTTGAGGGGGCTGCTTTTGCAAAAGAGAGAGACTTCATCTTCTTCACTGCTTCTTGATTCTTTGAATCGTGACGTGTTATTCATCACACTGCTGGCCTTTCTGTTGCACGTGTACGAATAAAAACTTTCGTATCTGTACGTATGGCACCAAAATATTTGTATAAACACAGTATTGTCTAACTGTCAACTCAAACAGCGTCCACTTTTCTAATTTTTTCCGGCTTTTCGCGGGTTTTCGAGACACGTGCAACAACAGGCTGGCCATCTGTTGGTGCAGCTTCGACCATTAGCAGCTTGAAGAGAGGTTTCCAGTGTTTTAAAACTGTAAAATTGGGCTAAAGGAAAGTACCATCAGTTGATCAAAATATCACAATAATTACTGGAAATTGCAGGGAACGTTATCGAAAGGTGAGTGGGAAGTTGCAGCAATGTATCTTGTCTTCGCTTTTCGACGGAAGAAAATGGGAAATGGTTGATTATTGTACATTTTCTCACTGGAATCAACCGAATTCTGCAGTGTTGCACTGTAGTTTTTTTCCGTCATCCCTCCTCCGACCTTGGAAATTGAGATTCACGTTTCTACTACTAAAAAAAAAGAAAAAAAAAAAAAAAA